TACTTGACAGGCTGAGGTGGGAGGATGGCTTGAGCCTGGAAGGTTGAGGCTGCAGTGAGCTGAGATTGTACCACTACACTCCAGCCTGGCCAACAAAGCGAGACCCTGTCTCAAAAAAAAAAAAAAAAAAAGAAAAAGGCTATGAAAACTAATATAGAAAACACAGAAAAGCAAAAGGGATCATAATCCTGAAAGATGGCAGAATATAGTGCTGAAAATTATATATTTTAGGACTCAGAAGAAAATATTAGAAGAGCGCCATGCTTGGAATCCTGAACTCTATGAAACATGTATGAAAGATAGAAGTAGAGGACAAACTGAGATGAAGGGAGAATAGAAGCGGATAAAAAGGAAAAAGATTAGAGAAGATTACAACACATTTTCTAAAATTTTCTTTAAAAATTAGCAGAATTAAACTCCCCACAGGAGGATGTAAAGAGCAGAACAAACGCTAAAGAAAATCAAACCCAGGATGAAAACAAATAGGAGTTTTGTGTTTTTTTTAGACGGAGTCTTGCTCTGTCACCAGGCTGGAGTGCAGTGGCATGATCTTGGCTCACTGCAACCTCCACCTTCCAGGTTTAAGCGATTCTCCTGCCTCAGCTTCCCGAGTAGCTGGGACTACAGACATGCGCCACCACGCCCAGCTAATGGGGTTTCACCATGTTCGCAGGGATGGTCTCAATCTCTTGACCTCGTCATCTGCTGGCCTCAGCCTCCCAAAGTGCTGGGATTACAGGCGTGAGCCACCGCGCCCGGCTGAAAATAAGTAGGAGTTCTAATAAAATGCAGAGAAAAGGGATAAATAATAAAATTATAAAAGAAAAGATGACAAATATGGAAGACAGAGAGGAGAGATATACCATTTGAGAAATGTTTATTCTTTTTCTTTTTTCTGTTTTTTTTTTTTTCTGAGAAATGTTTATTCTTAGAAAAAAGATCAGAAAAAAATGAAACAAAGTAAATAATTAAATTAATCACAAAGGAAAACCTTTCTTAGAAGGAGGATGATATATCTAGCTAGGTGTAAAGGGTTTGCTGTGTCTTAGGCAAAATCAATGAATGAGATCTCCAGGTAGAAGCATTATAAACAAAATGTGAAGTATAGAATAATTTTTAAATACTAAAGAATACAGAGAGGTGGGAAGATCATTTGAGGCCAGTAGTTTGAGACCAGCCTGGACAACAAAGCAAGACCCCACTCTATGAAAAATGGAAAATTAGCTGGGTATGGTGGTGCACATCTATGGTCTCAGCTGGGGACCGGAGGATCAGGGAGCTTGAGGAGGTTGAGGCGGGAGGATCGCTTGAGCCCAGGCGCTCGAGGCTGCAGTGAACTATGACTGCACCACTGCACTCCAGCCTGGGTGACAGAGTGAGACTCTGCATAAGAAAAAAAGAACCCAGACAGAAAAAATGTAGTGAGCTAAAAATAATAAAACAAACTGGTCTCATTCCCCTCCTTCAAAACAATAAAATGCCAAAAGACAGTGGAACAAAGGCCACAGATGTGTTTTATGGGAAAAGTAGTATCCTAAGTAAGGATCGGATACCCAGCCAAGTGCCCTGTTTACCAGGGCTGCAGAAATATTCTGAACTATGCAAGGACTTAGTAAAAGGAGGACCTACGCACCTGTCTTGAAGATACACGAGAGAAACAAACAAAATCGAGAGTTGGTATTATGACTCAAGAGAAAATGGTAGTAAATAATGATCCAGTTAAAATTATTATAGATCTGAAAAATTATCTGGTCAAGGCAAATGTTACATAAAGAGTATAACAATTTAATAAAAATTGGATGTAAAACCCTGTTTTAGTAACAAAAACTTTAAAATGTTGGGAGAGATAGTATGCTAGATTTCCCATCAAATAGGAAGAAAAACATCATGAAGAAGAAATACTGAATTCCAAGCAGACACTCATATAAATCTAACCCTTTATTTATATAGGAAATATGTGTGTATAAGTTTTTTTTTTCTTAAAAGAGAATAACAAGAAATCACAACCAAAGGGAAAGAATAAAAGAGAATGCAAAGTAATAGTAAAAATATCAGTTATCACAATACAAGTAAATGGAATAAAATTGCCTATTGAAAGACAAGGCTTCTTACAAGCAGTTATCAATCTATGTGGCTGTTTGTTCTGTTTTCCTTTTCCTTAGCTATATATTATTTATTTTCTCAACAAAACTCAAGATTTATAGTTTGAGTTAAGAAAATGTAACTTGATACAATTTGCAAGTGGCACATATAAAACAAAGTATAACATAAGGCAAAAAGCAATAAATGGGGATAAGTAATTTTATATTGAAAATATAAAATTCATAATAAAGATATAACTTTTGTTTATTAAATAACATTGCAACAAGATACACAAAGCAGAAGTTGTTATAAGTTAACAGAAACCAAAACTGTACTAAAATACCTTAACAGAACACGAACATAATGAGGATTTAGAAGATATAAATTCTACAAATGAATAAGCATTCTCCTAATCATGAATGTGTATTTTTCCAGCATTCATAGAATCACCCACAAAAATTAATCATTGAAAATTTTTTTTATAAAACTGTGTATAAAAACATTGTTCAGATTATCTTACTCATACAAACCAAAAAATTTAAACTCATTAGGGGAAGTGTAAATTTTTTAAAAATCTAATTATTTAGAAATTTAAAAGCCGTCTCCTAAATAGTGCCTGGGTCACAGAGAAAATAAAAGCTGCAATTACAGACTATGCAGAAAAAATGAGAACATTACATTTCATTCTTAATAGATAAAGTAAAAGCTGTACCTCTGTAAAAACATTTATATTCATAAATATGAAAGCCCAATTTAGTGATTTAGAAAAAAGAGCTACTCCAATTACTCTAATATCTATTTCTTTTTCTTTCCTTTTTTGTTTTTTTTTTTTTGAGATGGACTCTCGCTCCATCGCCAGGCTGGAGTGCAATAGCGCGATCTCGGCTCACTGTAATGTCCGCCTCCCAGATTCAAGTGATTCTCCTGCCTCAGCCTCCCGAGTAGCTGGGATTACAGGCACCCACCACCACATCCAGCTTATTTTTGTATTTTTAGTAGAGACAAGGTTTCACCATGTTGGCCAGGCTGGTCTCAAACCCCTGACCTCAGGCAATATGCCCACCTTGGCCTCCCAAAGTGCTGGGATTACAGGCATGAGCCACTGCACCTGGCTTTTTTTTTTTTTTTTTTTTTTAAGACGGAGTCTGGCTCTGTTGCCCCAGCTGGCATGCAATGGTATGATCTCGGCTCACTGCAACCTCTGCCTCCCGGGTTCAAATGATTCTCCTGCCTCAGCCTCCCGAGTAACTAGGACTACAGGCGTGCACCACCATGTCTCGCTTATTTTTGTATTTTTAGTAGAGACAGGGTTTCCCAATGAGGGCCAGGCTGGTCTTGAATTCCTGACCTCAGGTGATCCACCCGCCTCAGCCTCCCAAAGTGCTGGGATTACAGGTGTGAGCCACCTCGCCTAGCCCAATATCTATTTCTTTGAAAAGAACCATAAAATGTAGTTGCAAATCAAACCAAGAAAAAGAGAGAAAACAGCGTAATTTGGAATGAGAAAAGAAACAAAATACAGGTCATGTGCAGTGGCTCACGCCTGTAATCCCAGCACTTTGGGAGGCTGAGGCAGGAGAATTGCTTGAGCCTAGGAGTTTGAGACCAGCCTGGGAAACACAGTGAGAGCCATCTCTACGAAAAACTTTAAACTCGCTAGATGTGGTGGTACATGCCTGTAGTCTTAACTACTCTGGAGGCTGAGGCAGGAGCATCGCTTGAGCTCAGGAGTTCGAGGTTACCGTGAGCTATGATTGTACCACTACGCTCCAGCCTGGGTGACAGAGTAAGAACCTGTCTCTAAGAACAAACAAAATAACAAAACCTGAAACCATCATTGGACCTCCTGAGAGGTCTTACCTTATTTTTTAATTTTTATTTTATTTTTTATTTTTTTGTGACAGATTCTCGCTCTGTTGCCCAGGCTGGAATGCAGTGGCACAATCTCGCCTCACTGCAACCGCCACCTCCCAGAGTGATTCTCCTGCCTCAGCCTCCTGAGTAGCTGAGATTACAGGTGCCCACCACCATGCCTGGCTAATTTTTGTATTTTTAGTAGAGATGGGATTTCACCATGTGGGCCAGGTTGATCTCGAACTCCTAACCTCAGGCGATTCACCCCCCTCAGCCTCCCAAAGTGCTGGTATTACAGGTGTGAGCCACTGTGCCTGGCCAGTCTTACAATTTAATGGAGCAAATAAATAAATTACTGTGTCACATTTTTAATATTTTGATGGTTCAATATATTTGATTTCTTTGCAATCCTATGTATTTTTGCATTATTTAGAAGTATTATTCTGAGAAGCAATTGTAGGAGGGAAGGGAAGACTGGAAATCTCACTGGGAAATCAACCAACAAGAGGCAGATCAATAGGAGAAATGGCATACAAATTTATTAGCACACACAAGGGAGAATTACGGAGTGATTTCTCAATATCCTAATGTCATATAGATGTTTCTATACTGTACTTCTTTTTTTTTTTTTTTTTTTTTTGAGATGGAGTCTCACTCTGTCACCCAGGCTGGAGTGCAGTGGCCGGATCTCAGCTCACTGCAACCTCCGCCTCCCAGGTTCAAGCAATTCTCCTGCCTCAGCCTCCCGAGTAGCTGGGACTACGGGCGCCTGCCACCTCGCCCGGCTAGTTTTTTGTAATTTTTAGTAGAGACAGGGTTTCACCGTGTTAGCCAGGATGGTCTTGATCTCCTGACCTCGTGATCTGCCCGTCTAGGCCTCCCAAAGTGCTGGGATTACAGGCTTGAGCCACCACGCCCGGCCTATATCGTACTTCTTAAGGAAAAAGGAGATGGACAAGTGTCGATGATTTCAGGGAGGTAGTAAATTATTTTTAGGGGAATTTGATGGGCTTAAAGAACATACAATGGCCTGGGACAATGGCCAGGAGTATCACTTGAGGTCAGGAGTTTGAGACCAGCCTGGACAACATGGTGAAACCCCGTCTCTACTAAAATACAAAAATTAGCCAGGCATGGTGGCACACTCCTGTAATCCCAGCTACTCAGGAGGCTGAGGCAGGAAAATCAATTGAACCTGGGAGGCGGAAGTGGCAGTTAGCCAAGATTGCGCCACTACACTCCAGCCTGGGTGACAGGGCAAGACTTCATCTCAAAAAAGAAAGAAAGAAAGAAAAGAAACTTGGATAGACACATTCATTACTTTGTGGTGGAGGTTTCATGGGTGAATACTGATGTCAAACATCAACTTTTACACTTTAAATATATGCAATTTATGGTTAGGTCAATTATAGTCCAATAAAACTCTACTATTAATTTTTTTAAGTTAAAAAAAATGTGGGGAGGAGGCTAAGAACCCTTAAGGGGATCAACATTTTTTGGTAGCTCTGGTCCTGCTAGAATTTCACCAATCTCCAGCCATCTCCTCATCACTTGCCATGGTCCAATCTGAGTTCCTGGAAAACAGGCTTCCTCTGAATTCTAGGTTTCGCGGCAGTTGGTGGGATGGAAGGCCTGAAGGAGAAGTACTTCTTGGCCCTGGCCAGCAACCGGAGCGAGAACAGCAGCTGCGGGCTGCCCCGGGAGGATGCCTTCCATATTTTCCGAGATCCGCTGACATCTGATCTCCCGTGGCCAGGGGTCCTGTTTGGAATGTCCATCCCATCCCTCTGGTACTGGTGCACGGATCAGGTACAGGACAGTGGCCTCAGCAAGCTTTTTCCTTCTCTTTGCTTCTTTCCTTAGGGTGGCTGAAGTTGGTACTTTTTTCTTCCTCCACCTCTTCTCTCATTTGCATTTTCCCTGCTTCCTTGACTCCTTCCTCCTTTCCATTGCTCTACATGCTATTTTATTTCTTGATCTTGTGAATGTGAACGACAAATCCAAAGCTGCTGATATTTGCAAAGGGGAAAACTCAACACTCTGCTTTTCTTTCTTTTTTTTTTTTTTTCTGAGACAGGATCTCACTCTATCACCCAGGCTGGAAGGCAGAGGCATGATCATAGCTCACAGCAGCCTTCATCTCCTGGGCTCAAGAGATCCTCCCATTTCAGCCTCCTGAGTAGCTGGGACTACAGGCACATGCCACCATGCCCAGTTATTTATTATTATTCTTATTATTTTTTAGTAGAGATGCAGGTCTCACTATGTTGACCAGGCTGCTCTCAGACTTCCTCCTCCCGCCTCAGCCTCCCAAAGTGCTGGGATTATAGGTGTGATCCACTGCAGCCGGCCTAATACACTTTGCTTAATGTATTAGGTGTTATTTATTTAATTATTTTTAACTGGGAATATCCAGTAGGCAAAGGAGATGATACCTTTTAAATGGGGGTTAAAACTCCTATTGGACATTATTTGTTCAACAAATACACACTGGTTGTCCTCTACATACCGGGCACTCTTCTGGGCACTTAAAACCAGGAGCTAATAAGTCAAACCAAGCTCTCTGCCCTTGTGGAGCGTCCCTTCTTCTAATGGGAGTAGACAGAGACAATAAGTAAAGTATGTGAGAAGTTAAAATATGATAAATACATTTTAAACAGTAGAGTGAGGTCAAGGAGATTGAGAGTGTGGTAGTGCAATTTAAAACGGGGTGACAGGTGGCTCACACCTCTCATCTCAGCATTTTGGGAGGCTGAGGCAGGAGGCTCACTTGAGTCCAGGAGTTTGAGACCAACCTGGGCAACATAGTGAGACCCTGTCTCTAAAAAAAAAAAAAAAAAAAATTAGCCAGGCATGGTGGGTGCGCCTGGAGTCCCAGCTCCTTGGGAGGCTGAGGTGGGAGGATCACTGGAACCCAGGAGGTCAAAGCTGCAGTGAGTTGAGATTGCACCACTGCACTCCAGCCTGGGCAATAGGCCTGAGACAGCAGACCCTGTCTCAAATAATGTAGGGTGCTTAGGGGAGGTGTCATTGAGAAGTGACCTTTGACCAAAGACTTTGTAGAAGAGCGAGAGCTCCCCGTGATTTTTGGAGGAAGAGTTTGCAGCAGAAGGCACACCCAGAGCAAAGGCAGATATATAACTGGCGTGAAAAAAGAGAGGAGAAAATCAAAATGCAGAACCATGTGTACAAGAAGCCCTTGTGTATTAAAAAAAAAAAAAAAAAGGAGAATAGAATCAATATTTGTGTTTGCTTATATGTGCATAAACTCTGGACAGATGTATACAAAACTAAGAAGAGTGGATACCTGTGGGCAGGGAGGCAGGGCAGGTGGGAAGGATGAGTGGGAGCTGTTTCACTGCATATTATATTTTCTCGGGTTTTAAACTGAGTGAATATATCACGTGTTCAAATATTATTTTTCTGTTACATGAAACATCAGAGGCCTATGTATCACTTGGGGAGTTATACTGCATAGTGAGGGCTGATGAGAGTTTAATTAAAGCAATAATCATGGCATTGGACAATTGATTTGATGCAGGAGACTTCACAGAAAATGAAACCCAGGTCCCATCCATAGGCCAGCCCTCCTTTGAGCTAAGAGCTAACGACCAAGGCAGTGATGAGAGCAATGCACATGTACTGCCCCTTTAAGAGAGAGACCGCCTTCACCTCCTTAGCAAATCTCAGATAGGAGACACCCTGAGAAACAGGACTGATCCAGGCTAACATCATGGGCTTTAAATTTAATAGACACGGCCGGGTGCGGTGGCTCACGCCTGTAATCCCAACACTTTGGGAGGTCAAGGCGAGTGGATCACCTGAAGTCAGGAGTTTGAGACCAGTCTGGCCAACATGGCAAAACCCCATCTCTACTAAAAAAAAAAAAATTAGACAGATGTGGTGGCGGGCACCTGTAATCCCAGCTACTCAGGAGGCTGAGGCAAGAGAATCACTTGGACCCAGGAGGTGGAGGTTGCAGTGAGCCGAGATCATGCCACTGCACTCCAGTCTGGGCAACAAAGTGAGATTCCATCTCAAAAAATTAATTAATCATGCTGGGCACAGTGGCTCATGCCTGTAATTCCAGCCTGGGCAACAGAGCAACACTGTGTCTCAAAAACAAAACAAAACAAAACAAGACAGTTGACCCATTCTGCCACTGGGAAAAAGTCATTTGTAAAAACCAGCCAGAGACAATTTCACCTGCCCAGGTATTCTCCCAAGACCATCTTCCTCCTTCCTTTATTGAACCAATGTTTATTCTTTTCAGGTTTCTGAACTTCTTTTTTATTATTTATTTTTATTATTTATTATTATTACTAGTTTTGAGACAGAGTCTCTCTCTGTCACCCAGGTAGGAGTAGAGTGGTACGATCTCGGCTCACTACAACCTCTGCCTCCTGGGTTCCAGCAATTCTCATGCCTCAGCCTCCTGAGTAGCTGGGACGATAGGCAGGCACCATCACACCCAGCTAATCTTTGGTATTTTTTGTAAAGATAGAGTTTTGCTATGTTGGCCAGGCTAGTCTCGAACTCCTGACCTCAAGTGATCCACTCACCTCGGCCTCCCAAACTGCTGGGATTACAGGCATGAGCCACCGCGCCCAGACAGATTTCTGAACTTCTGACCTACAGCTCTCTGATCCGGTTTCCACTATCTAATCCTACTGTCATCTATTTCTATTTCGTTGACCTGTTGGAACTTCTTTCTCTGGTTTCATCTAACAGCGGTGATGATGACAATGACAATAATCATGACTGCTGTCTTTGCTAAAGAGCTGCTAGACACCTGAAAAGCAAGCACAGTTATCATCCCCATTTTACAGATGAGAGAGCTGAGCCTGGAAAGGTTAAGGAACTCATCCAAGATCACAAAGAGCTGGTGGGCGGATTCACACCTAAGTCCGTCTGCACTTTCAATCGCTCCATTCATTCATTGTACCGCACCTATTGGATGCTCTCAATTCTGGGAACCCACCCCCAGCTGCATTTCTGTGCAGACGCCTGCTCCCTGGTCACCGTGCTCCACCATGACAGCTCTCCCTCCTCCTTTCCCACATCAAGGAAGGGAAAAATTGTACATGATTATTGTGGAAAAAGCAAGGAAAGATAAGGTAGCTAGATGACAGATGCCATAACAGATGGCTGACATAGCTAACCATAAGCCCTCCTCCCCACATATTCAGATTGCATTTTCATTCCTCTCAGCTCACTTTTTCCCCCACAACTGAGATGTTACTTCTTAAGAACCACTTAGCCGGGCACAGTGGCTCACGTCTGTAATCCCAGCACTTTGGGAGGC